TCACCGCAGAGAGGCTTTGCTTGTTTGCAGCCAAGAGAGTCCACAGATGCTAAAAATAGAGCACTCCTTGAAGGTGATCTGAAAAGCTTTCCTATATGGGAGGATGCCTCCTAAAAACACTGGCTTAGAGCTAATGGGGGCTGGGATGGTGCTCGGGATGGCTCTGCTGAGATTCAGGAGTTGCTCCACAAAGGTAATCCAGCAGACCTTTGGCTCAGAGGGGGCTGCAGGGATGCTCCTGGGCAAGCAACCAGGCAGAAAAGGTGCTCTGTAAATTCAGGACCTGATAACTGCAGATGGACAAGTCCATGGCTGTGCTGGGATTCCTCAGCAGAGGAATCAGGGGAGCAGTAATGAGGGGAGCTGGAGCACGATACTTTTTCTTTCCCTCCCCCAGCCCCCTTAAAGCCCTCAGCAATTGCAGCACAAAGTCAAAGCAGAACGGTTTTCTTTTGAAATATATAGCAAGTGCAGCACCTCTGTTTCATTCTGGTTTTATTTCTTAAAGCAGGGCAGGTCTCTATCCCACGGTGCATCTTTGATCTTGCCCCTTAAACAGGCCGTTTTAAAGCTCACAGACCCCTTTTCATCAGCATCCACCTTGGCTCGTGGCACCTAACGCCCGTGTTTATACCCTGGCACGTGGCTGAAATCAAAGTGTTGCTGTGGGAAACTCTGCACACGGCTCATTAAAAAGTAAAAAAGGACTTGATGTCTCTGAATGAATCCCCGTGTGTTCAGCAGAGCTCCCCAAGCCCTGAGATGCAGGAAATATCCGAGCTGCCCCCGCACCTTGGGCTCATGTTGCTGGCAGGGCTTGGCACTAATCATCAACGCTAAATTCCAACTGCTCATCCCGAGAGGATGACGGAAAGAGGCCCATCAGTGCTCTGGCAGTGCCTCAGTGACCCTGCAGAGCCAAAAGCAGAAGGAAGGAGCTATTGGAACCGAAAGAGCTGACCTGAGGAATGCAATTAGACGAGATCTAAAAACACAAACATGCTGCAAAACCCAGCAGTTTTTTGGAGCAGGAGTTACTGCCTGTGGATGCTCATTCTGCAGTCCTGGGATGAGCAATGGCTCTGGAGGAATCCCAGCTGGTAAAGCCTGGGCCAAGGCCAGCAGAAAGTCTCTTTTATGAGCACCACATCACCCAGTTTGGACTTTTTGTGGAGGAACCATAAGCAAGAGAGCAGCAGACACCCTAGACAAGCCACACCAGCTCTGGCTTCTCATATTCTCCTGGAAATCCCAGAAACCAGAGACTGAGCCGATAAGAGTCTGACACCTAATGGGCACAAGCAGAATTGTGACAAGCACAGGATCCAGCTGGAAATGTCCTTGTGGGAATACAGACAGCATTGCCTCCGAGCAAAGCCTGCAGAGGTGGATGGAAAGGGGAGACTTGTGTAAAGAGAACACTTAAAAGCCTACACGGCCCATGTCCATGATTGTAAACATGAAAAATTTATAATTTAACCTAGATAGGAGTGAGTCATACAAAAAGTATTAGAAGGCTCCAGGTACAGAATGTGAGAGAGGTGCTGTCACTTAGAATCATACAATGGTTTGGGTTGGAAAGGACCTTAAAGCCCATCAAGTCCCACCCACCCACACCTTCCATTAGATCAGGGTGCTCCAAGCCCCATCCAAACTTCCAGGGATGGGGCAGCCACAAGTTCTCTGGGCAACCTTTGCCAGGGCCTCCCCACCACCTCACAGAGAAGAGTTTCTTCCCAAAGTCCAATCTAAACCTACTCATTCGGTTTGAAGCCATTCCCCCTCATCCTGTCACTACAGTTCTCATTGAAAACATCTTTCAAAATTTCCTTTGAAATTTCAGAGGTCTCTGCCATATGATAGCAAGGAAAGGTCAGGGTTACCCCTTGGCACTAAATTGTGTTTCTCAAGTTCTTATGCCAAATACTCTGGGATTTACTGTGGGAAAGGGATATCTTCCAGAGCAATGAGCTATGCCCCAGAGACCTTCAGTTACACTCTGTGTGGTGGTCAGTGATGAATGGGAAGTTGATCAAATTTGACTCCGAAATATCAGCTGTATCCTGTAACCTGCCTCTGTGCTATACACGCAACTTTGTTTGCTTCATGGAGCCCGTGGCTTTCTTTCCTTTAAAAAAACCTGTCAACCAAAGGCCATTTACAGCAACAGTGTCTTCCAAGGCAAGACACGGCAGAGCTTCCCAGGACTGAGCTCCACCAAGCACTGCCCTCAGGCCTGCCCCTGCCCCTGGTGCTGCATCCCTGGGCAGAGTCCAGCCCTGCTGTAAGGAAGCTCACACCACCTCTGCTCCACTCAGAGGGTAAATAGAAATGTTCAATACCCGGCGCCGCTTTCCAGCAGCTTCCACAGGCATCTTTCTTCTTTTCTAAATTAGATCTTTCTATTATAACTTCAAGGCCTCATGAGTCTCCTTGGCATTTATTAAATAACAACTAAACTCTTCAATTTGCCGTGTTACTACACGATGCAGTTGTTCTCCACCTGAGACGTTGCCTGAGATCAGACTGGAGGAGCTGAACGTGGCAGGGGGATGGTGGAGCAGGGCCAGCACTGGGTGTCCTGAAGTGATATACAAACCCCAAATACTGAGGGCCAGGGAAAAATCAAGGTTCAGCCTGGATTCCATGTCCACGTCCTTTCCCCATTGCTTCTTCCACCAAAAACTCAGCGGTTACAGCAGGATTGCGCTGTTGTGGATCAGATTTGCCCTGAAACTCAGCTATGTGCTTGGGGAATGCAAAACTGCCACCAGCAGAGGAAAGGGTTTGCAGAACCCGAGGCTATTGACTTCCCTAGACTTATCCTAGACATGGCTGTGCCCCATATTCCCAAGGAAACAGCAGCACAGCAGACATGCCCAGTGTTTTAACACGGCTCCAGGTAGGAAATGTAATTGGCCACAAAGCCACAAGTTACCTGACAACAAGAACTGTGAGATGAGCCCTTTTATTCCTACTATTTTGGTTTTAATCTTGTCCTTTCTCTTGCTGGGAAAAAAAAAAAAAAAAAAAAAAAAAAAAAAAAAAAAAAAGCAGCCATCACCTGAGCTCTGGTTTCAGCCTCTGATAACCCACAGCCTTTAAGGTACCCTGAGCCACCTGTAATGAGCACTCGATCCTACCCCCAGCAATAAGCTGCAAATGGGATGAGAAGATCCAGAGGTCAGGGGAGATGTTTCATTTTGGGAACGTGAATGTCTTCCCTGCCATTCCAGCCATCCTAACAAGGGGTCCAATTAGCGCTCGTGACTTTGTCATCAGTCCAGTGGGGACGCAGGGATGGGGGACCACTGCTCTCATTTCCGCAAAGATCACGGAACAGGAAGACAAATCATCCCTAATGGGACCTCGGGGAGAGGCTCTGCTCTTCTTTCAAGTCACAGTGGCACATGGGGGCCACTTGCTCTGCAGAGCCACGAGTGCCACCTCAGCTGGTGACAGCAGAGCTCTCCAGCAGCATCCAGCCTCCCCCCCTTCCAAGCAACTGCATGTGCACAAAAACATTTATCAGGGCTTCTGGCCATAGCTTTGACTTTAATTTTATTTTAAAAGTGCATTCACATGTAAATTGACTTGGCCCGAGAGGATACACGAATACAAGAGCCCTTTCTTTTCCCTTGCCATGGCACTGGGAGGAATATGGTGAGCGGAGCAAAGTTTCCTCACCTCCAGGCTGCAATTCTGCAGCAAAAGAAAAGCAAGTTCATTGTTTCCTTCTGCACACAGATGCTGGCTCTGCTGTTTTCAGCAGCCTCGTTCAAGCGAGCCAGTTCAGAATACAAAAGCACATTACATATCCCAGGGACAAGAACACACAGGCAAATGTCTTATCGGCTCTGTTTTATCTGTTGTAAAAGCAGGAGATACATTAATATGAGTTTGTAACTGTGTCTGATGCTTTGAAACACGGTCCTGTCCCACAGCCCCAGGGTCAGACTTGGTTTGGTGGTAGAGGATTCCTGGGGGGCGTAAAAAATTAAAATTTGAAGTTGGAGACCAGGAAAGCACAAAATTCATCAGGGCCTGAAAATACACGTGCTCCCCAAGAACCTCTGGGATAAGAACAGGCGGAAATCTGTCCCACAGCACTGACCATATGTCATCTTGTGATGTGTTGCCACAGAGTGAGCACAAAAAGAGCACAACACTCTCAGTCACCCCATTTTCAGCCTGCAACCCTCCGTACCTGCTGTTCCTCACTGCCATTCACTTGACACCTCCCAGCCAAAGCATTTTCCCTATGATTTTGGCAACATCCAGCAAAAAGGCATCGGTTTCCTCTGCAGCATCACAGGTATGTGAAAGCTCCCCAGGGGAAAAAAAAGACGCACTGACAAAGCGAAAACGGGCAGCGCTTTGCATCGAGGCACAGCCTTTTTGTTTGCCAGAAACTGGGAGTGGAAATGCTTGTGGGGATTTATAGACTGAGAGTTATGACTCACTCCGTGTGTGTTTTAGTGAACGAGCAGGTTGGATCGGGTATCCCAAAAGGAAGGATGCCGGCACAGGGATGGCAGCGCATCCTCGGGGAAAGCCTGGGATGCGCAGGAATGAATTAGAGCACTAAAACTTTGCTGTTTCTCCACGTGAAAGCTCCAACAACCCCGCAAGGCAAAGCACGGACTGCTGAAGATGCTGGAAGCAGAGGCCTCGGCTCTCTGCGCCTCGGTTCTAGTTCTGCACCTCCCCAAAACTTTGTACCTGGGATATTTTGAGTTTCCCCCCACTTCGGCACCCCGAAGGCAGCCGGATGGATTACCCTCGACTCTTATCCCACACGTATCCTGCTCTTTCCTCCTGGTGTTCCCGCAGCCCCTCAGCACCGCTGGACCGGGGTCTGGAGCCCACGCCGGGGTCTGCCGGAGGCCGCGGCTCCGCCGTGCCCCTTTCTCCTCCGGCGGACCTTCCGTTACGATCGTTACCGAGCTCCAGCCGCCCCCTTTCCCCTCCTTCCCTCCCCTCCTTCCCTCCCCTCCGCGCCGGCTCCCGGCCGCGGCGGCCGCTCCTGCCTTTGTGCCCCGGCCGCGGTGCGGTCCCTCCCCGCCTCCCCGGCGGAGCCCTGCGGCGCATGCCTCCCGCTCCCCGGGGGCAGGGAAGGAAGCGCCGCCCGCCCCTGCACCAGCGCGGCGGGCAGCGGCGGAGCGGAGCCCGGCGGAGCGCACAGCCCGGCCGGGGCTCCGCCGATTTTCCCCCCCTCCCCCCACTCCCTTCCCCCCCGAGCCCCGCGTCCCCCCGTCCGCTCTCGGCCTCCTCTCGGCAGGTGAGCGCCGGGCGCCGGGCGGGGGGCGCGGGCCAGCGGCCGAGGGAGGCCCCGGGAGCGGGGCGGCGGAAGGCGGGAAGGGGGAGCCATGGCGGCGCGGGCAGGGCCCGGCCGGCCGCGGGCAGCGGGCGCGGCGCCCCGCGGGGGTCCCGCGTGAGGCGGCGGCGGGCGGACCCCCGCGGGTTTTGGGGTGGGGGGAACCGGCACAGCCGCGCTGTGGGTGCCCCCCGAGGTTGGGGGAGGACCCTCGGGTCCCCTCGCACGCCCTCTGTAGCAGCCCCCCCCCCCCGGTGTGTGTCCCGTCATGTCCCCTCACACTCTCGCTGGGTGCCCCCGAGGTGGGGGGGACCCTCGAGTCCGCCCGTGCGCCTTCTGTGGGAGCCCCCCGGGTGGGTGTCCCCTCACACAGCCTCTGTGGGAGCCCCCCGGGTGGGTGTCCCCTCACACTTTGTCTGGGTGGCACCCCAACATGTGGTACCCTCGTGTCCCCCCACACACCCTCTGTAGCAAGCCCCTGGGTGGGTGTCCCCTCATGTCCCCTCACATTGGATGTGCCCTCATTTACCCTCACAGCGTTCCAGAGGTTATATCCCTCTCCTCCTAAATGTGTGTCCCCCCATTTCCCTTCACACCCTCTCTGGGTACTGTCCCTGGTGAGTGTCCCCTCATGTCCCCTCACACCCTCTGTGAGTGACCCCTGGGTGAGTGTCCCCTCGTGTCCCCTCACACAGCCTCCAGATGCCCCTGGATGTCCCCTCACAGCCCCCATGGGTGCCCCCTCAGAGCCTGGGTGGGTGCCCTGGCCTCAAGCGGTGCAGTGGCACCAAAATTCACCTCAGTCCCACGTAATTCTTGCAGGACAACCACAATCCAGGTGTGGAATAGCAAAAGGCACCTGCCCCTTCCCTGAAAACTGTGGAATTAGGTTAATAGGAAATACGTTGTGGGTTTGTTTTTTCTTTTTTTTAATGAAGCCGAGAGCTAAAGTGTGTTAATTGGGTTTCTTCAAGATAATGAAGTATTCTAATTTCTGCCTTTTTGATCCTTAGCTGCTTATTACTAGGGAAAAATGTTTTTAATTTATGTTTGCCCTAGTGAACGTGTCAGAGGCTGCGTTAGAAACTGCATTCAGCTATGTGGTTCTAAAAGTCAGGGGTTTTAGGTGCTTTCAGTTAATTCACAGTCAAATGCAGGTTCTGTTGGGAGCACTGGCTTTACTGGCATATGTAGAACTGAAATAAATCCAAACTATCTTCAAATGACTAAAAGGTGGAAGTTAAACCAGCATATGTTGTGTTGTTCCAGGTACCACCCAGCAAGGAAGGATGGTCTCGATCTTAAAATTTTAATTCTGCAGGGATGATGTTTTGAGATGAATTATCACTGAGGCAAAGAAAGAGTTGTCTTCCCTGCTTGTCTGTTATCTTACTCTCAGTAGTAAATAAATAGAAGTTTCAAAGAGTTTAGAATCATTAATTCTTTAAAATATTTGTTGTCACTGATTAATTTGAAACCAGAACTGGAGAATAATTGACGAGGGCAAGGTCGGAGAAGTTTCAGAGGGAAAAGAGGGTAATTGTAGGTCGGCAGAGTCCAGTGCCACTCTCCAGTCTGGGCTCACTGCAATTGTGTGGAGCCTGGGCTTGAAGAACCACCCAACTGCTGTAGTTTTTTTAGGAATTACTGCCTTGTGCCAACCAGATACTGTTTTAGTCCTTCCAAACGATGCTGCAGGTGAAACCTTCAGCCCTCACGAGGCCATGTGGAGGTGGAGAACTCTTTGAGGTGTTATCTGGCATCTTCTGGATGGCTTTTTCACTCTTCCATGAAACAAAGCTTCATTCTGTCTGGGGTCTCTGCTGTAACACAAAGAATAGTTCATAATCTCCATCCTGGTTTTGCACACTCCTAAAGACCTGTGTTTGCCAAGAGCTTTTATCCTGCAGTGAGGCCAGATGATTGATGTCTCGGGGTTATTGCTGCGTGGTGTGTTTCAGGAAGAAATAAGTTCCCTTTCCTTCTCTCTGAGCTGCTCCAAGTCCCTCAGCTGTGCATGTTTAATGTCAAGCCAGAACCAGTAAAAGCTATTTTGGGATTTTGTTTTCACAGAACCATGGAATATTCTGAGTTTTTGGAGTCCAGCCTCCTGCTAACACAGTTACTCTGCTCTTTGAGTAAGAGGTGGTTTGTCCCCCACCATCTCGGATCACGGTTCAAATTGCTCCACATCGACATGCAAAAGGGAGTGAAAAGTGCAGAAAGAGTTTCAGAAGTAGAGATAATTACCTGAATTGGATTATGGTTGTGGCAGAGAATACTGCAAACCACAAATGATGAGTGCTCTGACTTACCCCTGATGGCAGCAGTGACTGATTTACCTGTTGAAGTTATGTTGACTGCTGTGATTATCTGGCATAGTAGTTCTGAGTGTTAATAATTTGCAATTTATGTTACCAGTATTATTGCATGGAATTTCTAGAAGGTACACGCATAATAATAAATATTTTCCTTTTTTTATCTTGTTGTAGGATGGAAGAGAGACCGGTCTGAAAAACTGTTCCATCGTGGACTTTGCTGTTGCCTGCTAGAATGTTCCTTATGAATGCTCCTCGTTTGGTAGCTCTTCAGACAAAATGGGAGTCCTTTGGACCAGCAGCAGGGAATTGTAGATATCCCGTTTGCTTCCCTGAATCTGACGGGGACGTCACGAGAACCTCTGTAAGTGCAAAAGTTCAGATGATCATAAACAACCTGCAGAGTCAAGAGTCTGCCCTGGGTATGAACAATGAGTGTGGTTGTATTATGCAGAAGAAACAGAAGGGAGAAAAAGGCACCAGTAACAGAGTCACGTCGGGCACCCCCTTGCTGCGGAAGCAGCCTCCGTATACCAAGTGTGGATGCCCCGAGGATTCAGGTGGCACTGAAGTGGAAGAGAATGTGGAGTTTGGGACCCTCCTGCTCGATTCTGACAGCGACGACTCTGTGGACCGAGGAATAGAGGAGGCCATCCAGGAGTACTTGAAAGCAAAAGGCAAAAGCGACCAGTCCTTGCCAAGGAATGCCGAGGGTTCCGTGACGACAAGCAGAGACAAGAGGTTTAAGAGAGAATTCTCGCAGAGCAAAACGGCTGGTGACCTCCTCCCTGTGAAATTTAAAGCCGAGATGCTCTCTGAAGAGTACCTGTCTGACCACCTGGGAATTGGGAAAAGGCTCCAGCCTGCTTCCCCTCAGAGCATCAGCAGCGATGACTCTTTTGAACAGAGCATACAGGCTGAAATAGTGCAGTTCTTGAACGAGAAGAAGCAGCAGGAAATTAGTAAATGTGTTAGTGAGGGGGATAAAAAGGATTCCCGGGTGAGATCTGTCCTCAAATGCAACAAAGACACAACGAACAGGACACACTGTGGTGGTATAAAGCGAGGTTGTAAGGCGCTGCTCCTGAGACACCATCCCAAGCTGCAGAAATCCGGCACACAGTCCAAGTGCTTGCAGTCAAAAATCCAAGCAGAGCCCAGCGAGTTCAGCCAGGTGAACCAAGCGTATCTGGAAGTGGGCACTGCCAGCCAGCCCTGGCTCGTGGAGCAGAATGAGGGAAGCGGAGCTCATTACTGGGAGCCAAGGGAAGCACTTACCAAGGAGAGCATGCACACATCTGACTCGAGCAGTGATGATGGCATTGAAGAGGCCATTCAGCTTTACCAGCTGGAGAAAATCAGGAAAGAGGCAGGTGATGCAGCAGACTGTGTCTCTTTGCAGAGGAAACAATTTGATCCAAAGGGTATGGCGGACATTTCTGCCAGCCTGACAATTAGCTCCACAAAAAGTGCCTCACCAGAAACCCGTAAAAGCCCTATAAGCAACAAGAGAAAAGAAATTAATTCCAAGCCAGCGGGATTAGAAAGCACCAGCAATGACTTTAACAAGCTGTTTAAACCACTGAAAAAAGCCAGGCATTTTGCACTTCCAGAAAACAAGATTGCTGCTTGCGAGCTCACGTTGCAGGCCTCTTGCAGAGCAGACACATCTGCGGAGCTCATGTGTGCAGAAGCTATCCTTGATATTTCCAAAACAATCATGCCATCCCAAATGGGAAGTGACAACAAATCGCTGGCTGCGGACTCCTTCTTTTCTCCCCAGCTTCTCTCCTCCTCCCGTTGTGAAAGTGACAGCAGCCTTGTGGACAGCGATGACAGTATAGAGCAGGAAATCAGGGCTTTTTTGGCTCTGAAGGCACAGTCGGAAAACCTTGGAGCAAAGCCTCCCAGCCTGTCACGCTCGATCCAGATGCCTCTGCCTTCCGATCAAAACAGCCTCGCCAGTACCCTGGAGCCTCCTCTTCCCAAAACACTGAAGCTGTCACTGAGTCGGAAAAGGAGACTGAAAAGGGAAGGCAGAGCAGTGAAACAAGGGGCATCAAAAACACCTGAGCAGGTGCAGATGGGACTTTTCCAAGCAGGTAACTATTCAAAATTTCCCGTGCTCCCAGAGGAGTGTGCCCTGAGCCCGGCAGAAGCCTGTGATGCTCAGAGCCTCGGTAGTAAAGAGACGAGGCAGCAGCAGCTCGTGTCTCCCACATTGTCTGGCTCTGATGGCAGATGTGTGGCCTTGGACTCTGTAAACCCCTTTCTGCAGGTTCAGAGTAGCACAAGAAAACTCATGAAAAATACGACCCAAACTCCTGACAGGGAGGGGTCGGATGATGAGAGCAGTTCTCTGGACAGCGACGAGGACCTTGATAGTGCTATCAAGGACCTGCTGCGGTCGAAAAGAAAGCTAAAGAAGAAGTCCAAGGACCAAAAATCTCAGTTCAAGAAGAGAGTCAGATTCAGCGAGACAGAAGCTCAGCTGCTGGATGATTTCAGCAGCCTCCAACAAAACGAGTGGAAGTGTAAAAATCCTGCGCTGCTGAAAAGCTGCCTCTCGAAACCCAGGAAAGCCGTGAGAGAGAGCACAATGAGGAGCCCTTCAGACAACATGAACATCAAACTTCCCAGTGAGAAACCAGAAACCGTGATGAAAAACCTGGAGTTTAACTTACAGCTTAAAAAAGGGAATAAACCTAAACCAGTTTCAAACCCGCGGGTGGCTAAAAATAGAAAATGTTCTTTCCCAGCTGTGTGCGACACCGACGACAGCAGCTCGGTGGACAGCGACGACAGCATCGAGCAAGAAATCAGGAAGTTTTTGGCAGAAAAGGCCAAAGACTCTGCAAGCAGTTCAGAGATACAAAAAGATGATTTAGATCTATTTAGAGTGACCAAACAAACTGGTAACAGAGGAAAAGCAAAGCAGCAGCCGGTAGAGAACGAGATCAACCTCGTGCCGGGTCAGAGTAAAAAGACTGAGGTACCTCAGCAAACTGAGTTGAGGAACTCCCAGAGAACGGAAGGGAAAAGTGCAATGTTACATGGCAGTGGGAAATGTGCTTCCTCTGCAGAGAATGTTCGTGCTACTGGTCAGTCAAAAGCTAAGCAAGGAGTGTGGGGGGTTAAAGGTGGTGCTGCTGAGTTACCTAGGAACGCAACGGGTAAAAAGAATGTCCGCAAAACAGAGCCCCCCAAACCCAGCAAAAATGAAGGTTGTAAAGTACGAAAAGTTATGAGCGCAAAGCCCAGATCTAAAAGAAAGAACACCTTTCACCTAAAAATTTCCAGTAAATTCATTGCAGGTCTCAAATACGCCCGGGACAGGAAGAAATCAATGCTTTTGAACAAAAGGCAGAAAGCAGAGAGTTTGCTGGCCCAGAGCAGCACGCTGGGAGTGGAGGCAGCTGCCCAGGATACACATGTACTTCACCCCTTGCCAACAGGTGAATTTAGTGGGGAGAGTACGACAGCAATAAAAGCATCCGGTACTTCTCAGAAGGTCACTGTGGGAGTGTCAAGTCCCCACGCAGCAGAAACCTGTGCAGGAGTTGAGGCTGCTCCTCTGTGTGTCACAGGGGAAGCCGAGGGGTGCAGAAGGGCTGATGCCTCAGGAGATCAGTCACATTCTCACTCGAGCCTCCCCTGTCAGGAGCAGAGCGAGGCAGCAGTAAAAGCAGATCAGATTTGCAGAGGAACGTCCAAAGCGGAGAACACACAGATGTGGATAGCAGATACCCACACAGGCAGCTGGGCTGATTCAAATGTAGATCCCCCACACCCCGAGTGCAGCATGACAGCTGGAAAAGCAGATAAAATTAGCAGGGACACAGCTCAGCAGAGTGCACAGGCGTGCAGTAAGGGAGGGAATAACCGCCTGGACAAGAGGCCAGATCCAAGTTTAGCTTGCCCACAGCAGGAATTAAATGTGACAGCAGCAGCAGTGGATAGAACGAGTAGAGAAGCATGTGCAGATAACAGTGTGCAGATGTGCATTAAGGAAGAAAAAGTTGACAGGCAGGAAGAAATTCAAGTAACCAGCTCCAATTTGGAAGGAAAAATACCTGTCCTGCAGAAAAGGGAAACTGCTAGTGAAGTGCACCAGGGGCAGGAAGTTTTAGCCAAAACCTGTGCAAAATTTACTGACCTATCTGCAGGGGACTGCCCAGATTCCCTCTTGGAAAAAAAGGTTTCAAATGTGTAAGTACATTTTTTTTTTTTTTTACAGTAACAGTCATTTTAGAAAATGTCTGTCATGGTAATTACCTTGATGAAAGGAGAGACAGTGGGAGATGCTGTTACCTGTACGTCATACACACACTAATGTGAAAATGCTTCTATTTAACAGGGATATCGTGGATAAACTTACATAGTTTTTGTAGAATTTTGTAAATTATTTAAAAAGTGCTCTAAGGAAATATTTTTTATAATGATTTTTAGGGCTTGCATTACTACAGGAAGCTGTAGTTACTGTAGATAAGATACTGGCTAATCACACTTTAAATTATGAGGCCTCTAATCACCTATCAAAGGGGAACCTGTTTGCGCACAGAATATATTTGGCAACCTGTTAAGAGATCCCAGGGAAACACAGCCTTGGATAGCCATGCAGATTATCTGACACTTGTCACATTCCAGCTGCCTTAGAACAAGCCTCTGTCCTGGTTTTTTGCTGGGATCTCAGTCCTCCCACCCTGAGGACTCTGGGGGTTTTTCACTGAGCAGAATTCTGGCACAGCCAGCGCAGATGGGGTTGTGGAGATCCAGCCTGGGAGATACAAATGCAAATTCAGGTAAATAAAGTGGATCAGTCTGTCTGCACATCCTGTGTAAAGTGATCTCAGCAGCTGCTGCAAGTCCTTTTGAATACCTAAAACCTCCTGCTAGCAGATGATTCCAAGCACAATTGCAAACTAAGACAAGTGATGGAGCATTGTCCGTTCAGACAGCATGATTTCCCTGGATTTCTCTGGATTTATGTGCTGTTGGGCCTGCAAGGCTGAAACAATTCCTCGTTAGCCTCAACTGATGCCCTGCAGTTACCCAGAGATGGCTTTTTGGCTTCCTGGATGAGCTTTCTGGAATTGAGTGCCCTTACTTTCTTTTTTTCAGAAGTGGTTTCTCAAATGTTACATTTCTGTGAACTTTTCACTGACAGTTTTTGTGCAATAGAGCAAAGCTGGGTTTGCTGTAGGAAGTCCCAACGTAAACGCCACGGATATTTTCAGCGCTGTTCTTTCGTACTGGCTCTTTCTCTGCCTCCGTTTCCAGCAGCCAGACTAAAGCAAGTTTTCACCACTATCTTTTTATTTGTACTGACTTTAAACAGGATTGAAGTAGCACATGCATATCACAAAAAAAAAAAAAAAAAAAAAAAGTGCCCTCACACTGGTTTCACTGAAAAATTCAAAAAAAAAGAAAAAAAGAAAAAATTGAACTGGAGCTGTTGGTTGTTCTTTCATTTGTGTGTAGTGAAGTCCTTCGAGGAGTTTGTTCTTACATCTTGTCCCTGTGAGTTGATCTGAGATTCTCTTTGTCTAGTCTTCTGCAGAACTTCTCTCAGCCAAACCACCACTTAGCATCACTTTGTTTCTCGGTCACTTCAGCCTTCCCCAAGGCTGGCCTTAAAATTGCAAACTGGAGCAAAAGCAGCCAAGACCCAATCCAGCGTCGCATGGTGTGATGCAGAATAGTGGCAAAAATGCAGCGTAGCATAGAGTAACTGTGAACGAGTAACTGTGGCATGTAGAGAAAGAACCCACATCCTTGGTGTGTTTATGCTGTTGTGCAGTTACGTTTCAAACACGTTTATAGTGCTCACTTGGCATTTCTTCCTGTCCGGCCGCCTTTTTGTAGTCCTTGGGTTGGTCGGTCGGGGTGTTTAAAAGGTCAGTGTGTTAAATCATCTCCATTTTGTGGTAGGATACCTTGGAAAAGTGTTTGGTTTTGTTTTTGTTTTTTTTTTTAACTTAGCTCAGTGCCTGCAGTCCCTCTACACAGGCTTGTCCTTCGATCTGCCTTGATTCCGCTGCAGGATTTGGGCCTTTTGTTTGGAATAGGTCAATAGGCTGGTATTTTAAAATAGAAGTTTTCTGAGTACCTTGCTTTAAAAGGATTAAACTGTACACTTAATTTTCCTAGAGATGGTGGAAGCACTATGTACTGTTTGTATAAAAAGCTGAATGTTTCTCCTCCCAGTTTTCAGTAAATCAACATTAAGACTTAAAAGGTGTCTCGTGCCCCTGTCGCTGTGTCTGTGTCCTCAGTACAACTCGTGAACTGATTCACTTCCAGTTAAGATGCAATTCCAGTTACCTTGTGCTTTAAATAAAACCTGATTTCAAACAGCACTTTTTTAAAATTGACAAACTTGATTTGTATATAGGAAATGGTGTACATTGCTGAGTTTATAATGTTTAATAAATGGGGTTCTGCCCATGGACCGTGAAACCCGAGTGCTCCTATGGTTTGTGTCGTCTTATTGAGCGAGTAGGATTTTGCTGTTCCCTTTTCTCCCTTCCTGCTTGCGTTCTGAGGGTACAATTAACTTCTTTGGAACAAGAAAAAATGAAGGAGAATCTACCAACTACCTCGGCAAAACAAAGTGGTGGCTGTTCTGGGAGGTGAGAGTGGTGCTTGTTTTAGCAAAACCCCAACAGCAGTTTTCTTAACTGGTGTTTGTGGTCAAGAAGTGGAGTCTTTCCTTGTGTAACTCAGTGTGTGTCAGGGAACGTCTGTGGAATTGGGACAACAGCCACAAGAGTGCCATGGCTCCACTGGCAGTGTCCTCATCCTGCTACAATTCTTACCACTTCTTCAAAAAATAAAGAAGTCTGATGTCTGGGATCAATAAGAAATCCCTCTTAGACATCACTAAAGGTCGACCAGCTGAGGAGTAGAAAGATTATATTGATTTTTTTTCCCTCCTAATATTGATTTTTTTAATTGATAATAATAGTATGTCATTATACTGCGCTTGGTACCGAGGTTGGGACTGCAGGGCAGATCTCTCGGGGTTGGATCTTGACAGATGCAGTTCCAAAAGGAGATTTTATTTCCTGTTAATTGTGACCACAACAGCCCCAGAGTGGGCACAGACTGTACAGCCTTCCTGGCCCTTTTCAGCACCCAGTGACAGCTCTGGGGAGTGACCAGCACAAAGTCCTTTTCCCATTGTTTCCACCCTCCAGGGACACCCATTTCTCCTTTACTGCAGTGGATGGAATCATGAACTCAGGTCTTTTCACTCTTGCAAAGAATTACCTTTTTTAATGAGTGCTGGTTCATATTTTTTAAAAATGAGCACTGATTATTTTTTTCAGTCAGAGCACAACATTTGCTAATTTGGATGTTAAGTTACTTAAATCACTTGATATTTTTCATTATGGCTACTAGTAAGTAATGTCCTCCTGCCTGCAGTACCACAGTCCTCAGATACATCTGTGCTTCTGCAGGACTTTGAAAATAGATTTAGTGCTTTATTTTTACCTCAGTGACTATTTTTCGGTGCTTTGGGAGCAACAATCTTCAAGGATCCTCATGAGACCACAAGAAGTACCGTAATTTTTTATAAACATTCTTTGCTGCTATGTTAGGAACACGTTTTGACGTGTAACTGCCTTTTTATACAAGGCAGGAACACACCATCCCTGCCACCATTTCTTTTATTAAAGTGTAAGCTTTTTAATTCTTCAAACCTTTGGTTGGTGGTAGTTCAGCCTCACATAATTTTATCTGCAAACATGAAAATCTTCCTTTCAAAAGACAGAGTAGAAACTGCTTCAGGGAAATTCCGTGTGGTAAAATGTGTCATCTTTAGGATGATATTTTGAATTTGTGCAGGTATTTCTTAAGTATTTGGTCTAACATCTGAACACTGAGGCACATTGCATGTCAGACTCTTCAAAGGAACTGGTTTCAGTTCAAGAATAAAAGGCAAGAAATCAAGGCAAGGAAGAAAAGAGGTGGGTGTTTTCAGACGAAGTGGGAAAATATGTGACAGAATCCACTACAGTTATATTTTTAAGAGACAGTCTTATCCCTAAATTATGCCACCTGCAGAAAAATCTCTGGATAAAAATATATGTAAAATAGTCACAACTATTTATATTAATTCAGCACTTTGTTATTTTCTTTATTTCAGGAGAAGAAAGGGAAGTTATAAGAAGCTCAAGGTACTGTCTAGAGTCTAATAGGAGAATTAACAGTGAACAGTAGAGAGTTGCTTATTTATTTTCATATGTTAAATATTTTAAAAGTTAACTTTCCAGGTCCGTTTCCGCTCAGTTTATTTATTTGTTCCAAAGTATTGGTGTGTTTGCAGCAGGAAGGGCTTTCACCCAGCTATTTCTCTGTTTAAAAGAACCAAATGCCACAAATAGGGAATATTTATGACACTGAAGAGTACCAATTGCAGTGGTGCTTGGCCATAATATTAAACTTATAATTTATATTTTTAGCAAACAGTATAGTATTATGTTCATTTTTAATGGATACTATCCCTATGTTACACCTGTAAGGTGAGACACTTTCTCATCCATGAACAGGCAGAGCAGTTTCTCTTCAAAACTAGTTTTTTAGCTAAAAATGTAAAGGTGTTCCTTCAGTGCAGTCACTGTCCAACTGATGTAGTTTCACTGGCTGTAACTACAGTTGTTAGAATAAAACTTAAGAAAACATTTTCTTTTTTGATTACGTGTCATTATTTGAATAATTCCTTAAAACTTTTTAGTTGTGAGATAGAAGGTAACACAAACTTTCTACAAGAAATCCAAAAGGTTAATGAATACCTCTGGAAAACTTGCAGATTGGTTATTCATTGAATAGTAGAGAAGCAGTTTTAAATCTTAATTTTTAATTATATGTGGTACATGAGCCAAGAGTTTAAGGGATCATTAGTGACACAGAAGAGGTTAAGGGGATGTATGATGTTCTAGGATTTATATGCTGCCTATAAACTAAGCGAAACGGCTCGTAGGAGCTATTTAACTGACATTTAACCACATTAAACCTTTATAAATCAACATATTATTCCCAGGAACGCTCGTTCTTGTGAATTGGTGGGTTTCATCTCAGCTGTGTGTGGTTTCCCCACCGGGAGAAGCGACGGTGGCTCCGTGGTGTCCCTCCCTAGCTCAGGTTCCTGCAGTGCGAGGGCCCACTGGGGTTGTAGCTGGGGTGGAAGTCCATGTGCTCGTAGGCGGTGATGAAGGTGTCGGGGCCCGTGCAGTAGCTCTTCTCCAGCGACGTGTTGAGGCTGTTGTTCCTGTACATGCCAGCCCTGCCCAGGTGATCCGAAAACTTGTGCGAGATGACGCGGAAGCAGGTCTAGGGGGAAAGGGGGCGAGAAAAGAAGGGAGATGTTTAAAATACACCGGCAAGCGAACAGCGCCCGCAAAGTCTGGGTGCCAAGTTGGGTTTCGTGTGCCGGGGGCGCCGCGGAGGGCAAAGCTCGGCCGCGCTGACCCCGATTTCTTCCCCGGGGGTTCCCCCCATCGCCTACCGGCAGCTCGTGCACCGTGGGGGCCCTGCTGCCGTAGGTCTGGTTGGTGGTGCGGAACCGGGGGTGCGGCGCCGGCTGCCTGCGGGGCGAGAGCACAGGGTAGGTGTGGGGGGCCCGGGGGGTGCTCCGGGGGCCTCGCCCCGAGCTCCCCGCTCACCCGTAGCCGCGGTAGAAGGCGGGCTGTCGGAAGCGGCCGGGCAGCCCGGGGCCGGGGCCGGGGCCAGACATGGCTAAGGGGGGCAGAGCGTTGCCCGGCGACGGGACGCGATCGCGCCGCGCTCCGCCCCGGGGAGGGCGCGGGGACCGCCCCGCCTCGCAGGAAGCGGAAAGCGCCGCTGACCTTCCTCATCCACCTCTTCCCCCTGTTCCTGCTGCCGCTCCGGCCCCTCCGTGCCCTCGGAGCATGGCGGTGCCGCGGCTGCTGCGGGCAGGTGAGCGGGCGCTGCCCAGCCCAGCCCGGCCCGGCCCGGCCCGGCCCGGCCCGCCCGTGTTTAACCCCCGTGTTTCTCTCCCACAGCGGCCCCGCGGCTCTACAGCACCGTCCCGCTACCGGCCCCGGCCCCGGCCCCGGCGGCGACCCAGCCCAGCGGTGAGTGTTCTCCCTCCCCAGGTCCAGGCCATGAGCGATGCCCGTGCACGTATCGCCTCCTTGCAGCAGGTGGTGGTGGTGGGTGCATCGGGGTCCTTTCTGCAGTCTCGGCTCGCCCCCCAAAACACCAGAGGGAGCAGTGATTGATTGTTTCCCCTCTCTCAGCTGCGGATGACAAGCTGCTGTCAGAGCCTCTCAGCCACCCCGACTTCTTCAACGTGAAGGAGCTCTTCACCCTGAAGGATCTCTTCGATGCTCGGGTGCACCTGGGCCACAAGAAGGGCTGTCGGCACAGGTGAGTGGAATTATTTCATCATCCAGCACTTGTTGATATCAGGAGTGCTTCCATAAACAGTGTTTGCTTTGGGGGCTGCACTAGATTGGTCTGAGCCTGAAATTGCCCACACAGGGCAGATTTCAGGGACCCCCCCCCCAATGTGTGCACCAAGGAGGGTGAGACTCAGCCTCCCAAGCCCAGCTGGAACAGACACTGGGCATGAAGGTTCTCTGCAGAGAGCACCTCTGGTATTAGCCGGGAACTGGAGCGGGCAAAAGGAAGGTTCCTGTAGGGCCACCCCACATCCAGGAGCGCTCAGTGCCTGCATACCTCATCCCCCTGTGCCGCCCTCCCTCTGCCCCCCACAGGTTCATGGAGCCCTACATCTTCGGCTGCCGGCTGGACCAGGACATCATCGACCTGGAGCAGACCATGCAGCACCTCCAGCTGGCCCTCAACTTCACGGCCCACATCGCCTACCGCAAGGGCATCATCCTCTTCATCAGCCGCAAGCGCCAGTTCTGCCACCTGGTGGAGCACACGGCGCAGGCCTGCGGCGAGTACGCGCACACGCGGTACTGGCAGGGCGGGCTCCTCACCAACGCCCACATCCAGTTCGGCGCCGGCATCCGCCTGCCCGACCTCATCGTCTTCCTCAGCAGCCTCAACAACGTCTTCCAGCCGCACGTGGCCATCCGGGACGCTGCCAAGATGAACATCCCCACGGTGGGCGTGGTGGACACGAACTGCAACCCCTCCCTGATCACCTACCCGATCCCCGGCAACGACGACAGCCCCTCGGCCATGGAGCTCTACTGCAAGCTCTTCAGGATGACCATCATCCGCGCCAAGGACAAGAGGCGGCAGAGCGAGGCCGTCGAGGAGCTGCGGAGGAAAGCCGAGGGCAATTAGAGCCCCTGGGATGAGCTCAGTGCTCTGGGGATGGGCCTCCTGCTCCGCTTCCACAGGACTGGCTCTGCACCCGCAGCACCGGCTTCTGGCAGGGCTGGGCTGGCCGTGGAAGGGATTCCCCAGCTCTGCTGTGCCCAGAGATTCCGTGGTGGTCACAGCCACAGGCGGCCTCCAGCTCAAATTGCTCCCTCCAGAGCCATGAAGGGAAAATGGAGCCAGGCCAGGCCCTGCCACACTCCTCGGGTTTGTCCCTGTTGCGAGGAGGTGCCCGTGACCTGCGGCCTTCCCATTCCTGAGCTCGTGATCTCACCTGAAAACACTTGTATCTCATGCCTCTTCTTAGCAAATAAAGGGTTTTTTCCCTGTGATCCTTTTTGTTTCTTCCACTGTGAAATGGGAAGGGGAGTCTGCAATGCCAGGGGAGTCCAAGGCAATGGGAGGGAAAGGGATGAAGGATGTCCCCAAGCTGGGGACATCGCAGGGTGGCTGGTGCATTGCAGGGCTGGAGGGTCCCCAATGGGGGTTGGAGGGTCCCCGCTGGCTGGTGCTTCACAGGATTGAAGGATTTCCACTGGCTGACGCATCACAGGATTGAAGGATTTCGACCAGCCGGTGCATCACAGAGCTGGAGGGTCCGTGCTTTGTCCCACGAGGTGCTCGGAGCTAAACCACGGGGAGCAGGGACTCCCGAAGCAGCTGAGAAAAGGGATATCCATCCCCTAGTACGCCTCGTGCCTCCATGGGAGGTCCTACCGCGATCCTGCAGCGTGTGGAAGAGCTTTGGGCAGGGCCCCCTGCCCTTGTCCCCGCCCTGTCCCCGGTCCCTGCTCGGGGTCCTCCGTCCCAGCAGGGGGCGCTCGGGGGCGCCAAGGCACCGCGCAGGCCCTCCCTTTCCCGGCCTATATAAGCGGAAGGCGGGGTCTGTGTCGCCCTTTTGGCGGGCGGGTAGCGGGCAGTGCGGTGCTCGGGGGTACCTCAGCGGGACCGGGAATGGGAGCGGGACCGGCCCTTCCCGGTCGGGTCGTGGCGAAGCTGAAGGACCCCTCGATGTCGGGAAGGCGGTGCTGGCCGAGGAGATCCCGCCCGGGCGGGGCCGCGCTGCCCTTCCCGCGCCATGTTGTGGCGAAGCTCCCTGAGGGCCGGCCCCGCTCAGCCTCGGCCCCAGCGCTGAGCGGCCTTGGTGGGGGTACATGAGGGGCAGAGTGAAGGTAAGGCGGGTCCCCGCTCAGCTGGACCCGTCCTGGAGGGGCCCGCGGGTCCCCCGGGGCTTCGGATGCTCCAGGGGCTGCCACGTGCGCTCTAAATCCGGTATATCTTCAACTCGTGTATAGGAATTGGCTGGGGTTATTATATATATATATATATTTGTATGTATGTATGTATACACATATCTGAGTACAGCTGTACATATCTTAATATAAATTTCACATCTAATATAAATTTCAGTATATAAATTAAATATATATTTTAATATATCCTCCCCCTCGAAGGGATAGAAAATTTAAGGCTACTACCTATTCAGGTTTTCAGAAAAATATGATTTTAGAGATTTCAAGTAGCTAAAATTAATCTTAGGCAGGAACTATGTTTTTTTAAATTATGTTTTGAGTCTCTGGTTTTCAGTTAAACGATGCGTTTCACCAAAAAAAAAAAAAGGTAGTTATGCAGTTTGCTTTGTGCTTGTGTGGTGTTAACTGTATTCTCTGTCTTTTTTCAGCCCATCAGCAGGCAAAAGATGAAGGGGCAAAGATTGTGTGTCTTCAGAAAAGAGGGGTGATGCTTCACACAAAGGCTGCCCACCAGATGCCTTTGTTACACTGCTCTCCAAGAGGTGATATACTCTTCTTATAAATACCATCAAATCATGGAATAGTTTGGATTACAAGGGAGCTTTTAACTCCTCTTACTCAGGGACACCTTCCCCTAGACCAGCTTGCTCATCCAGCCTGGCCTGGAAGGCTTCCAGGGGTGGGACATCCACCCATAATTGCATTTTCCTCAGTCTTTATGCTTTTGGTTTCGAGGTATTTTTTTTTTTATTTCCTAAACTGCCACTGGCGTTGCAGAGATGGCTGCTGTGGCATCTTTGTGTCAAGACGTGGCAAGAGAGACAGGCTGTGTTCTACGCTCGTTTGCTCTGCAGCCCGTGGGCACTCAGAGTGATTGACAGCCTGACATCACTAATAAACCAGCTGCTTCTGAGGAGACTGGTGAAGCACTCATTTTTGACTGCCCTAAGTGTGAGATCTGTGGGTGACACGATGGGAGGTTGTTCTGTTTGACCTGTAGTGGGTGATGGGCAGAGAGGCTGCATGTGGCTTTTCGATTGTATAGCCTTGAAAAACAGATGCAGTGGGTACAATCTTGTGGAAGAATGAGTCAAAATTATTGGTCTGAAGCCATGTGGTGAGTTGGTGATGTCACTGGGAGTCACCAGCCCTATTTCTTTCCTGAAATATTCCTCTGCTATGCATTTGTTTCTGTCATCCGTGAAATAGTAACTGTATAACCAGGCTTTGAAGTGTGTCTGAACCCTATATATATAAATTTTCCTCATGTTTTCCAGACAAAGCCACGTGACTGGCAGAGCAGGAGGTGTCCCAGGCCCGAGGTGAGCCACAGCAGTGTGAATTCCCCACTCAGCCCTGCCCCATCTCGTGTTGCAGACGTGGCTGCAGTGCCACGTCTGTGTCAATCGGTGGCAGAGAGGAACAGGCGACTCCTTCCCTGGTGCTCTGACCCCTGTGAGCTCCCAGGATTGCTCAACAACCTGACATTTATTTATTGCTTTTCCTGTTTGGCTTTTTTTTTTTTTCTTTTGATATAGATCTGAAATGGTGAAGGGTGGATGGGGCACAGCAGCTATTTTACTTACGCACTGGGTTAAAAGCTAATTCAGGTTTCTTTTATTGCTTTAGAGATTCACAGAATGGTTTGGGTTGGAAGGGACTTTGAAACTCGTCTCATTCCAAGCCCCCATGGGCAGGGACACCTTCCACTATCCCAGGTTGCTCCAAGCCCCATCCAACCTGGCCTTGGACACTTCCAGGGATGGAGCAGCCACATCTTCTCTGGGCAACCTGTGCCAGGGCCTGCCCACCCTCAACAGGAAAGGATTTCTTTCTCATCCAAACTGACCCCCTTTATGTTTAAAGCCATTTCCCCTTGTCCTGTCACTGGATGCTCTTGTGAGGAATGGCAAATTGTGCTATTATCTATTCCAATAATCCTGAGTCCTTGGAGCTTTGATCTGTTGATCTCATTAGAGGTCAGAGATCAGAGATGAGTTGCTTGATGTTGTTTCCAGTTTTAACTCTCTCTCCAAAGAATTGGCAGAAGGTGGAGCACAATTCCTTTAAAGAGCAGTTAAAAGTGATGCCAGTTTTAACTGCATCAGGGGAGGGTCCTTCCTTATTTTCCCAAGGACAAGTAGAAGTGACAGCTCTGTTCCTGAATTCTATTTTTACTCCTTCCTGGCCTTTGAGATACCCTTGATTGCTGCCTGTGAAAGGGCACCTCGAGCTGTGCAGGGTTTGGCACTGTGTAGGTATCAAGAACTGTACCTGGGAGTGGAGGAGATGAGGGAAACAAGCACTTACTTTGTTTCCAAAATACAGGCAGGGTTTGATGGAATTGGGTGTGAATTTAGCACAGGGAGGAAATTACACCTGGAGTAAATATATGCAGAAGATGCAATCAGGAATCTTCTGAAATGCAGCTTTGTAATCACGCTTGCTTTTCGGGGGGAGAAACAGAATCAAATCAATCCTTTACCAAAAAAAAAAAAAAACAAACTGAGGATGTTTTTCCTTCTCACAGTTCGGTTTGAGAGCAGGGCTGAGTTCTGGAATGATCTTCAAATGTTGAAGGTGGGTATTGGATTATTTCTCAATGTGTTACCAAAGTGAGTGGAAAGAAACCCTTATGTTGGTACATCTTGTGCTGCTGAACTTCATGCAGGACAGGCTGTAGTGCTGCTGACACAAAACTGCTGAAATCATGTTCGTGTCACAGATGTGCAAAATGAGATGATCTTTCTTAGAGAGGTAATGGGGAAAGAAATAATTTTTTTTTTTTTTTTTTGCTGTGTTTATTTGCTGGCACGATGGCAAAGGAATCTCCAAGGAGGGAGCACTGGTATCCCTGTATGCAGATAGTTCTGTGTGTCACTGTCCTCACTTGGGTGACACGGGGCACATGAACCCATTGTGAGAACGAGTGGGGAGAGAAGTTCTGCCCACACACAGATTGTGGAACTGAAGCTTTGCAGCCCTGACAGATCTGGCAGAGCTAAATGGTGGGAAACCTCATTAAATGGGCATTAAGCAGGGCCAGAGGTGCTGCAGAGCCTGCAGGTTGTGCTGGCTGCAAAGTGAGCCCTTTAATTGGGGAAAGTCACTGCCTCCAGCAGTGGCTTTGGAGAAGAATGCTAATCAGGTTGGGGGGAGGTGGTTATGCCTTGGGGTGTGCCTCTTCTATTTAAATGTCCTGACTTTCAACCCTAAAATACATGTGTGGGGTTTCTCATCAGGCTTTACTCGCATCAGGGGTCCTGGATGGGCAGTGAGTGCTAATGAGTGTCTCCAGAACTTCCCAGTGTGAGGCACAGGATAACTATGAACATTTTCCTGGTAGCATTTGCTGTGAACCACCTTCCTGAGCCTCAACAGCGCTCCTGGGCCAAGAATTTGGTTTTACTGAAAGAACACCTGGCGCTCTGCTGTGGAAAAGAGAAATGTTTTGTATTAAAATGGTTTTGAGAGAAACTAAAAATGTTTCAGCACATAACTTAGCCCTTCATCATCTTAGATTGGTTTATGTCATGGCTTTGAGCGCTGGAATAAGCCCAGCTTTTCCTTCCCTGCACTATTAATAGCTTGGCTCTGCCCTGAGGTTGGCTTGGATTTTTAGGGAGTGAAGGAACAACCTGGAGCAGACTCCAGCTGTCCTGCTCTTAAGTTAACCCTTTCCTAAACTCTTAAATTCATGGCATCTGCTTCTGTCACTGCTCTTGGTCCTGAGCCACACAGATGTCCGGGCAGGGAATGCAGGCAATGGGATTTGAGGTGTTCCTGTGGTTCTGGACTCAAGGAAATCCTTTTCTAAAAGTTCCCCTCTGAACCCTGATAATGACTGCCCTAAAATTTGGGTATGACAAGTTAATTAGCTCCTTAGTATTGACATTATTTCTTCCTTTTCCTGTCTGTATTAGAATTTGTCTGACATCCTGTGCTTTTTCTTTATTTGCAGGTCATGGCCTAAGTTTCAGAATTCCTCTTTCAGACAAAAGTGGCAACAGCAAAAGAAGCGATTGGTGGTGTCTGCATGTGAAGATTTGCAGATTCCTTGAAAGCTGATCATCTGTGTTTTCTCTACGTGGCTAAGAAGAATTTAAAAAAAAAAAACTAAATAAAGATGCCACCTACCATAAGTCTGAATGGTGCTTGTGTAGTTGTAGCACCCCAAGCAACACTATTTTTTAACCATTCTAGGATTTAAGACTTCTGTTGATGGGTCTGGGAACTGGGGTGGTTTTGTACTTCCTGCAATCAAAGGTATTTCTTGCCTTCATCCCCTTGGGCACAAATCCACTGAGGTCTGATTGTCAATCTTTGTGTCCAGGCTTTTTTTTCCAGCCTCTGTGGGAAATCTGGAGGAGGTTGGAGTGTGAAATAGCTTTGCTTTTACTCATTCTCTCCTGTATTCCTGTGTAGCTTATAAACCGTGAGCACTGCACAGGCTTTGTGCTCTTTATTAGGCATGAGCAAAATGCTGTCCTTTTTGGGTTTATGAGTCATCAGTGATCCCTGGGAGTGTCCAGTGCTGTGGGATGTGTGGATTAATGATGGTGATGGAACAAGTTGTTGTCAGAAGTGTTTATTTCAATAAATCTTGTCAGGTACAGGGGCTGCTTCTCTTGGATCTTAATAAATACTTACAAATAGTGATCTTGAGGGGAAAACCCCTCCTGTTCTAGGTGCTTACCTGCTGCTTCAACACTGCTGTCGGGGAAAGGAGCAGCAGGGATTTAGTGGGAATATCAGGACAAAATTTACCAGTAAATAACAGAGGGGAAGGTGAGAAATGGCTTCTCTGATGACCTGAGGAGGTGACTCGCCACGGGTGGGTGTTGGATTCCTTTGCTAATAGCAGGAGGAAATTAATTTGCCAGTGGAGCTGGTTGCCATGGGGATACAGGACAATGGATGAGCTGCAGTGGCTGCTTTGGAGGCTCCTTACTGAATTCCAGTGAATTCCAGCCCTGCCCACGTGCTCCCTCCTGTGCAGGTGAACCCACACCTGCACACGGGGCCCTGCTCACCTTGGCAGTGTCTGTACCTGAGCCAGGGTGGCTTGAGGGGCTGAGGAACTTCTCCCCCTGCAAACACAGAAACCTTAGGGGTGCTCAGCCTTTCCATGGATAAATTGCACTGCAAAGGCCACTCCTGAGCAGGGAGTGAGCTCTGTGCTGGATACAGGGCCCTGCTGACCCCAGGACACCTCTATAAACACCAGCACGAGGGGATGAGGATCCTATGAATTAACACAAGGAAATCCTGGTCTCTCTCCTCAAAGGGCTCCTAAATGTGTAGCTGATCACATTCCCAGGTGATACAGACTGTCAGGTGTGGTTTTAATTGGGATTGTATGTCAGCTGCACACTCCACTCAGGAGTTGCTGGCAGGAGAAGCAGCATGCGGCCCAGCAGCGGGAATACGGCTGTGCTGGGAACAGAGCAGCCTTGGGGGAGTCCACAGAAGCTCTTCCTCCCTACCCACAGTTTTTAAGATTGCTATAATTGGGCATTTAAAGGAAACAACTATAGTTAGAGCCCTGGTAGTACATCCACAGCCAAACAAATGTCTTGAGACCTGCTGAAAGCCTGCCTGGAAATTCACTTCAATAACAAGAGAAGCCACTGGATTATTCTGGTATTAACCTTCAACCCCTGCAGGGCAAGCCCAGCTTAGTTTTAGGAGAATTAAACCGAGAGGTTGGTTTATCCCTGCTCTGAGTGCGGTGGGAAGGGACACACGGAGCACATTAACGGGTCAGAACTGTTCATGTTTAGCCCTTTGCCTTTAAGCCCTCCTTGGCCTTGGAGCTTCCAAAGCCGACTCGTGAGGGAATGGCCTGTGCTGCCAATTTTGGACTTGGGGCGGGAGCAGCCGGGTGGGAGCCTCACACGAGCCATGGCATCACTGTCAGGGTCAGGCACTTAAAAATGGAACCAAAGAATTGCCAGGATTCTCCACTGTGGAACAGACTGCTTATCTGCTTCCTATGTTACAGCTGGATCTGATGGCAGATGACTCAGACACTTAAGGAGAGACTTTTGAATCAGGAAATCTACCTTTTCCTCTTTTTTAGATCACAAACAAGCTGGTACTTAACAGGCTGCTGTTTCGCTATTGATGTACTGGTGTGATTCACGTAAAAGCTGTTTATTTACATCAGAGACGTTCATCAAAAGAAGATGTGACAAGTACAGCATGAATGATTCATTCCCATCGCTCTGCTCTGCTTTCCTGTTAATCAAGAAACACTTAGATGCATCCAGCTGGGCTCCACTTCCTTATCCCTTTCCGTGTCATCTTCCTCCCCCAAGCCTGTCCAGCCTGGTGTCCCAGCTCTGCAGACGCTCCTGCTGACTGATCCATGATCCTGCTGGGCGGTGGAAGTCATGAAGCTTGGTTTTCCATGGAGAAGGGGCTGCAGCTCTGCCGAACTCCCTGTGCAGGGCGTGTTTTTCCTGTGGGGAAGATGGAGAAACAGGCCTTCAGCCCTTGGACTTGACTCTGAGATGGCAGATCCTAAACTCCGGGGGCCGTGCTTCCCCCCGGCCCCGTTAGGAATATTTGGTGTTGGAAATCTTCTTCCAGAGCAAGGTCTTGAGGTTGTTGAGCACGAGGGAGTGGTGCACCTCCATCTGGCTGGCCAGGCCGCTGAGGGTCGTGCAAGTTCGGAGCTGCTTCTGCAGCTCGTCCTTCAGCTCCAGCGGCGCCCCGTACAGCAAGTAGTCCTGCAGCAACCCGCACACCTTGGCCAGGTTGGGCTGCACCATGTCGCCCTTGCACTGCTTCATCAGCTTGTCGCAGGCCGCCGTGCAGTCCCGCCCGTAGGTGCAGTCCACGTTCTGCTCGCAGTGACGCCCCTTGAGGAACCCCCTGATCGTCGCCTCCGTCGCCACCTTCCCCAGGCCGACCATCTTGAAGTCGAACTTGTCGTTGTAGCCCACGTTCCTGAAGCCCGTCTCGCAGATGTAGAAGCTCCCGTAGGTGCCGTGGAAAATCTCCTCCACGAACTCCAGGAGGCCGATGGCGATCTTGGCGCGCCGGGGCCACGCCGGCGCGAACCACTGGTGGAGGAGCTGGTGGGCGACGGAAGGCAGCAGCGACTGGAGGAAGGGAGGGACGTCCAGCCCGTAGAGGGAGGTGTGGGGGATCTTCTCGGTGACGTAGAGGTCCCCACAGTGCCCCAGCAGCTTGGCAGTGTGCTCCTTCTCGTGCAGGGAGAACATGAGGAGAAACTCATTGAGCTGCAGCAGCGCCCAGATGGATTTGGCCTCGGCCAGGGACACTTTCCCGTCACGGTTCACATCGGCCATGGCGATGATCCGGCTCACCAGGGCTGGGAGAGATGGCTGATCTCCCAGCTTGGACTGCAAATGGGACAAGAGGTGGCATCAGACCCTCAGAGCTCTCTGCGTTCGGGCATCGTATCCCAAAACCAAACTGGGAGTGCAAAGAGCTGAGCTGGGGAGGGGAGGAAACAGCCACCACGCTCCAGAAAATCTGATGCCATGACACCGTGTGGACAGACACAGCTCTAGCAGAACGTTACCAGCCTCAGGGCTCCAGACAGGAGCACAGTTTGGGGAGCAAAGGCCAGGCACCACGGTTGCCCCACTGCTGCCACAGAAGCCCCTCACAGGGGTAACTACCAGGACCACCATGGGCTCCTGAATCAGCTCTGCCCAGCACAGATGCCATCCAGAACCTTGGCACAGAGGCCTCCAGGGCTGCTGCTGCTCAAATATCACAAATATGAGTTCCTGGGAGAAAATGGAGGTTTTTCTCCACTAATCCAGGATATGGCAGGGAGCACCCAGCCCAGCAGTGGGTTTGGGGGAGTGTGAGCCAGAGGAGATCTCATTCAAGGGGAAGGAAAGACACAATTAGACTTCCCAACTTGTAGGTGGCATCCTGGGCCTGTGGGATCCCACAGGACCCCTGCACTGACCTTGAGGAAGTTGAGGAGCATTTCTTTGAACTCATCCATGGACGTCCCCCGTGTGGGTTTGTCGAAGAGCACCACGTCCCTCCTGGGCACAGAGTCGGGGTGGCTGTCTGCCCTCAGGGCTTCTCCAATGCCACATTTGATGATCACCTCCCTGTCCCTCCAGAGCCCGCTGTAAACCTGCAGCACAGGGGAGGGGACAGGGCGAGGTGGGAGGAGAACAGCAAGTGCCAAAAAAACCCCAAAGCTGGGTTCTGGTTCGGTTCAGGACGGGAACTGGGATGGAGTGAGGAGATTTCCCGGGTTTTATGCCTGTGCCCATCCCGTGCCATGTGGTGGAGGAGGCACAGACCTACCTGCTGGGTGGGAGAGGAGGAGAGGCAGTGCTGGAAGAGGAGGCCACGCTCCTCACACAGGTCCTTGCACGTGGAGCCAGAAATGATCCCTTTCTTGTACTGGTCACACTGGGGAGGAGAGAGGGGAGCTCAGCAGGGGCAGCTTCACATTCACCTAAAGAAGTCTGATAGATCCAAGCTTGTTCCCACAGCTCATGGAGCACCCCAAGCACACAAGCTGGGCATCTGTGACCCCCTCAGACTCCCATGCCATGCCAGCACAGTGTGCAGGTGGTTTGGGGTGATGTCTGCACCTTGGTGGCCATTTCAGCCAGTTCAGGGGGCTGGGAGGGAGGGGAGCACCTTGTGCTCAGACCTCGGTCAGGGAGATGTAGTGCCAGTTGCTCTGAGTCCAGCCTCTTCCAGGACCCCCAAACTTCCTATTCTGTTTTCCAGAGAAATCCCAGCCCAAAATCTCCTGTGTTCTAAGACCCAAAGATTTCCACTGGCCCTTGAGGATGGCTCAGTGCCTTGGGCACAGTGGGGATGGGCAGGCAGGGACCCCCTGTGCTGCTGGAGGGACCCTCAGGGGATCTGCTCCTGGATGCAAATCCATGAGTTTGGGAGAGCTTCCAGGGCTGGAGGAGAGGACAGCGTGGATTTGAGGAGAGTGAGGATGCAGAGGCTGAGGCTGCTCAGCAGAGCAGCAGCCTCTGCTGTGAGATGGGCTGGCCCTGGTCCAGGGGGTGGCAGGGACAGGGACACAGGGAGGCTCTGATCCACGGCTGGGCTGGGAGCTGGAGACATCCCTGGGCAGGAGAGGCTGCAGCTCCTCAGCGAGGGCACGGCAGCCTCGGGGCTGC